AAATCATTCTTGCTATATATGTACACAATTATATTAAAATTATATGCAGCATAATTAATTTTTTATTGAAAGTTGCACTAATCGATGCGCTGAATAAGTATGTATAAAATGCAAATCGTCTATATTTCGACTATGAATATGCCCCAATACTTTTGGTGACAAAATCAAAGCATGTCCCACGCATATATATGTATGTACTTACTCCAAACTCATTTATTGATAACGTTCTTGCGCACATGCATACGTACATATGTAGGTACACTGATATCTACTACTGACGGCAGCATACGTACAAATCTACATAATTACTCGCATATTCATCAGAATATGTTAAATTCCATGCTCTGGCTGTTATTTAACATTCTCTGGCTGCGCTTCGCTCGTTCAGTTGGCTCTGCAAAAAGAAAAAACATGGCGCAATTGCGCTGATACAGGGTATGGCGCTGGCTTCGTGGTATCAGCGCCCGAAAATATGCTGGGTTACACAGTTCACTAATGGTTCGGTAGCACGGTACAGTGAACAAAGGTGGCGCCGTCAGTGGTACCGCTACTTTGGTTTTGCCGATTTTGACAGTTGTAGTAACTTGTAAATAAACCTGTGTTTACAAATCAGCGACAAAGAGAATTTTAATTATAAGTGAAAAATCAGTGTAAATGGTGTTATTTTGCAACTTCAGAGTGATTTTTGAGTTAAGAACTGCGTAAAAACTGATAAAATGAAGTGCCGTGTGTTAAATTTCGACAGCCGTTAAGATGCGAGATGCGTAGATGATGCAAGTGTAGCGCTGTGACGAATCGCGGCATTTTGTGTAACTAGGGTACGGTAAAGCCGTTCTCGAAATGTATCTTTATTATTATATTGACGGCATTGCATCACAATGACTTCGCTTCTGCTCCAAGCATTCTCCTTTAGTAAGTTAACTAATCAATCCCGCTGAGATGCTGCCGCAGTTTGCTGCATCAACCTTAATTGCAAAGCAATGGAGTGCGCTAAAACGTTTGCTGCAGCAGCTTCGATTGCAAAGCACTCGATCGAGTGCACTAAAACGTTCACTTTTCTCTAATAGATTATGTGAAAATGCAATATTTTCGCATTTAGCAAAATTAAACACTTTTTTCGCTGTAAGCGAATTGTTTTGGCAGTTTCAACTCGTTCTTCGTTTTTGCTCTATTCTTTCNGATTATGTGAAAATGCAATATTTTCGCATTTAGCAAAATTAAACACTTTTTTCGCTGTAAGCGAATTGTTTTGGCAGTTTCAACTCGTTCTTCGTTTTTGCTCTATTCTTTCTTTACTTGTGGTACACAAATGTCAACGGCCATGACGGCGCAATCTTGTATTCTATCATTCTTGGTTCGGTAGCATGATTCAATAATAGGTGCGTTCGTTTAAAATCTCCAGTAATAACCAACCAACTGCCAAATTCCGGCGAAATGTCATCTGTTCTCTCACAAGAGAGAAATATCAAAAATTGTACGCGAACAGAAAATTTACAGAAACTTGCAAGTTAGACGAACAGCTGATAGAAATTTTGTTTACATTCAAAAGTGTAAAATTTAAAACGTACGAAAAGTCATCAGAAAGTGTTATACTGACACAGTTTATTGATTAAACAAATAACTACTTATTTCTTACAAGTTTAATTAGTCGCATTTTGTAATTTTTAACTTCCAAACCATCATTTTCAATTTTGTGATTTGCGTAAATGCCAACCANTTCCCCTCAAAATGAAATGTCACTTTGCTCTCTCAATTTCCCCTACTTTGCAAGTTTTTTGCGTACGCGAACGCAAAAACTTGTAAGTTTTGGTTAAACATGAACAATTAACAGCTACGCGAACGAAACTAATACAAGGTTGGATAAATATTGACATTTGTGTCAATCGACTGCCTTGTAAGGTTGCATTTAAGAAGGAAAGAGAAGCGGGTCACAATTTCATCCCCTTTTGTGTAAAGGTAGTAGGAAAAGTAAGTAGCCTGGTAGTGCTGAAATGCGTTTTTATATACAAATTGAATTAAATATATAAAGAAGATTCCACTGATCTACACAATAGAAAATTAATTAATTTTTTATGGCCACATAAATATTAAAAATGAAATAAATGGATATTCACATAAAATTCTTGCCAAAGAAAAATCTTTGAAGTCTTTGAAGAAATATTCCCAAATATTCAAAATAAACCATGGTTTCATTGATATTCCAGTATATATTTAACAAAATTAATGGAATTCAAACAAATCCTTTATTGAAAGGGACTATATGAAGAATTATACAAATGGTAAAAATGCAATTGATTTAATGCATGTGAATTAATCTTTTAAAAAGTATTATGTTTGTTGCATTTAAAGATTGCATGTTCAATATCTTAAATTGAATTACATTTGGTTTTTTTTTTTAATTTAAACTTTTTAGTAATGTTTTTTACATTTTTCTCCAATCAGTCTTGCTAATCATTATATTGGTTACATTTAAAAGTTAGATCTTCAATATCGCAATTTAATTACATTTGGTTATTTAAAAATCTAATTTTTGTGGAATTGTTTTTTACTTTTTTCTCCAATCAGTCTTGTTAATCATTATATCGGTTAAACTTTAAAAATATGTCTTCAATACATTACATTTCGTTTTTTAAAAATGTTAATTTTTTGACATGTTGCGTACTTTTTTCTGCAATCAGTCACAATCAGCACAAATACCTTTATTAATATTTCCACTTTCGCTTTTATGGAGTGGTATACTTACTTGTATATATGCAAAGGATCAACCCAAAGGCTGCAGTGGTAAAAATACATGCACCAGCAAACGTGGACGGACACCCAAATGATCCTGACCTTCACAAGAGAATATATTTATTAATATTTGTACTACCATACGTGGATGGATACAGGGATACTAGCATACAAAACTTACTTGCAACGGCTGCACTTGTTGGAAAACGCTACTTTGTGCAAAATAAATATGTAAATTATTGTTGTAATTCAAAATATACCCATTATTTTTGATTTTTTGCCATACTTGAATTTGCTCAATAGGAAAATGAATTTCCTCGAAACAATCGATGAAAATATCGGCAGTGTTGCCTGTTGAACTTTTTATACGAAGACAATATTTCTCCTTGTATTTTAGGAGTAGTTTTTATAAATCAAAAAAGAAGGCAACACAGGCTAAGGCAGAATGCGGGAGCGAGACAACTGCCAGGTTATCCAACCTTGTATTATTGAATCATGGTTCGGTAGCACATCAAGCTAAAAATGCAGAGATATGCGTTAGCGGCGGAGCACAATATTGTATTTCTACATTTGATAACTAAAAGTGTGTTTGCATTGTTCAACTTTGCGTTCAACATTTGCGTTCAACTCAGCGCAGGGTTGCACGAAAAAAAAGTTGAATGGCTAAAAATATCAAAATATGAAAAAATATCAAAATATTCGCCATAAAAAGGTGTTTGCATTGTTCAACTTTGCATTCAACTTTTGGTTGAATGGCCTTTCAACTAATCGCTTTCAACAAAGTTGGTCGCCAGCCAACATTTAGCCATTCAACTTTTTTTTCGTGCAACCCTGCGTTGAGTTGAACGCAATTGTTGAACGCAAAGTTGAATAATGCAAACACTGCTTTATCAGTGCTGTTGAAAACAGTTGAGGTGTTCACAGTTTGTTCCAAATAGTGTCTCAAAATGTAGACCTCTACATTTTAAGACGTTTTCTAACCGTAAAATCTGTGGTGTTGTAGATTTCCATACAAAATTGGAAAACGACGCCGTCTACATTTTGTCACACTCAAAGGTATGTTTTTACGCATCTAAATTTTGCAACCTCGCAGCAGGATTGCATGATGGCTGTTTGGGGTGATTCGTGGCCGGAGACCAAATAAAAACATCCACAATCTTCGTTGGCATGTAATAATATGTGGAATGTTTTATTTCCTTTAGAAAAATTGAAATTAGTTACATTAATACAATTTACAAAATTCTACTTACACTTTTGTGTGATTCCTCCGATATGCTAGCCACGAATGCCGCTATTTTCTTTGCACATAATGGCTGTCATATCGTTTACACAGTTTTGGCATGGCGTTGCTACTAACACAAAATTTTACATACAATTTACGATACAATTAGGATTGCCATCTTACAAAAAATTCAATTATGTTTTATTAACTCCTAAGCCGCGCCAACATCCCCGCCTCCGTGGATCTAACCAGGTCCACCAACATCTAACCTGGCCAGTATGCATGCTGGGCGTTTGTATACGCCGTCCCGTGTTTGCACTCGCGCGGCTCTTACTTGTCCATCGACACCTGGGAACACTTGGACAATCCGCCCGGTCGGCCACTTCGATCGATGCATGTTTCCGTCGCAGAGCAGGACAATGTCATCTACGGCTAGTGGCTTCTGTACACCGTACCACTTTGTTCGCCTCGTCAAGTCGGGCAAGTACTCCACTTTCTCCAGAATCTGTGCTGCATCTGTTGAACCTTGTACCACTGTTTTCTGGTCGGGATCATCTTTTCTTGGTGCGGATGTGGCGTTTGTTCGGAGTTTGGAGCACCTAGGAGAAAATGGTTAGGGGTTGGCGGTTCGTCAGTGTATTCGTCTAGTGGTATGTGCGTCAACGGTCGTGCATTAACTATGTTTTCTGCCTCGCACATGAGGCTGTACAAACAGTGCTCTTGAAGGGTTTCGTCGTTCAGCGCATGTCCCATTGTACGTTTCACGCTACGGACAAGTCGCTCCCAGCAGCCACCAGCATGGGGATTCAGGGGGCAATTGAAAACCCATTCGATGTGTTTGTTCGCCAGTGCATTAGATATTTTGCCATTCTCGAACTCAATCCTCTGGCGTCTCAACTGTTTGTCAGCTCCGATGAAGTTTGTGCCATTGTCGGAGCGGATGCGCACTGGTGTTCCTCGGCGGTTTATAAAGTTTCGTATGCACATGAGACAGGCATCCGTTGACAGATCCTTGGCGAGTTCTAAATGTACTGCTCGGATCGTAAGGCAAGTAAATAGCGCGATCCAACGCCTCTCGCTTCTTCTGCCAAACGCGACTGTAAACGTACCCATGTAGTCCAGACCGACGTATGTAAATGGCCTTACGAAGGGTGTAAGTCTATCTACCGGAAGTTGGCCCATTTGTGGGAGATTCGGCTTGGCCCTTTCCCTTACGCAAACTTGAAATCTTCGCGCAGCACGACGCACCTCTGCTGTTGTGGAATCCAATATCGCCGCCGTATCTCCGCGATTATCGTGCCTTCATTTTGATGCTTCCAGATTTTGTGATAGTAATCTACCACGAGTTCGGTGACGTGATGGCGTTTCGGCTGTATTATCGGCCGACGTGAATGTGTGGGGATAGCTGTTGCAGCATCTATTCGTCCCCCTACCCGTATCACTCTTACTTCATCTAGCGCCGGTGTGGGGGTTTTCAGCGAGCTGCTCCGTTCCCAATTCTCTCCCGCCATCAGCGAAATGCCAAATGAACAGCTGATAAATGTAAACAAATGAAATTGCAATAAACAGAGATGCTTCCGCCGATAGTATTCACAATTGAACGCTGAGCTGCCGCCGTGTTTGAAAAAATCGTTCAATGTTATAATGAATTAAACAGTGTATAATTATATAGCAAACATCTTAAAACATATATTTAGAAAAGTAGTATTATTATAAAATATTTTAGTTACTTTATCACATCAGTAATATAAAATAGAATAAATAATAAACAAAGCGACGTTGAGTTCAGGTAGCGTACAAATTTTCCGCTGAAAAAATTGCGGAAAGTTGCCAACTGTTGAGCTGAGCGGAACTACTCAACTGTGCATGTTTGGAAGATCTCTGAAGTCTAACCCTGGCATGCAGTAAGCGGTCTCTAGTCACTAATAGTGACTTTTGGAGGTGAACTTGGATTTTGAGACTATTTGGTATATTCAGTACGCTTTCTCACGTCTCTAGTCTCAAAAATAAGTCACTAATTTGTCAGCTGGCTAAGAGCAGGTCACAAAAATAAAAATATGGAGGAAAAGATCATTTCTTTCCATTTTATTAAAAAAACACGCAAAAATGAAGCGAGGAAATTTGTTCAACAGCAATTTCATTAGGAAATAAACCAAAATTCTTTAATATCATAAAAATTCATTGAAAAATAATAATTTTTTTGTTTTTAAAACATTTAAATCTAACGACTATTCAAACAAATTAAACTAATAAAAAGTACTAAATAAAAAATCCTCTACGCTCGGGGAGGACTCGAACCCGGACCCTCTCGACCGGCAGCCTAATGCTTTGACCATTCGGCCATTGCGTCTCTTTGGATGGCGCGGGCGAAAGGCATACATAAACGCTATTAGTTGACTGTCTGTGTTTGTTTTCACCACACATTTTTGGTGAACTTTTTGTGAGTCTCTCCCACTGAATACCCAAATCATCTCAAGTCACAAAAATAGTCACTAATTGCTAATCTCAAATTTAGTGACTTGATATGAGACTGAATTACTGAATCCCAGAGTAAAAACTCATTCCATTTCTTCCTAGTGTCCTGATCGACTTTGTCCGTCACTATCGAGATGAGCATATCCTGAGCAATTTGCGACTCAGAACCAAGTGACAGCAACGAGTTGTACAGGGCTGATGCATTGTCTATGAGACTACGCAAATGTTGCGCATTCGATTTGGAAACATTCGGCAAGTTGAAGAGGGAATTTATATTATCCAAAAAGACGAGCGTCGGGTTGTCATAGCGAGCTTTAAGAAGTTCGAGTGCATTCTGATAATTTTCAGAAGAAATATGAAATGCCTTAACAGTTTCTAAGGCCGCTCCCTTGAAACAATTAAGCAGTTGGTTGAACTTCTCGATAGAAGACAAGCTAGGTTGATTATCAATCACTTGCTTAAATGACGTTACGAAGTTTTTGTATTCGGAGTACTTGCCAGTCGTGGTAGCTTCATGGATGTTGAATGAGAAACGCAGGGCGAAGCATCGTCCACGGTTGTATTATGGGCGTCTGCACCCAATTGCTCCTTAATGCACCTTAATAGCGACGTGTGCATCTTCGATTTCACTTTTGGTGTCCCGCTGGGCTTCGTCTGGATCCATCTTCTCCATTTCGGTCTGCACTGTCATTACCTGCTTGAAGTAGGCTTCTAAGATATATAAACGACAATTTAGTTCAGCTGACGAGACTCCAAGTTTTGTATCAACTCTGCTGCGAATGCGGGTTATGTTCCGACGAAGATTAGTACGCTGCTGCTTAAGAGTTTCTAAGTTGGACATTTTGGTGATACAAATTAATAATTATTAATTTGTATCACCAAAATGTCCAACTTAGAAACTCTTAATTATAATTAATTGTCGTTTAGTCTTAATACATAGGTTCCGCAACTCGAAAATCAACTGCTTTATAATTCGTATCGACTAAACTTTCTTATGCAGAAGTACTAACTGCATGAACACCCTCAATGTATGTATGTAAAACACTGCTATATTTTGTGCCTTAATACAAAGGAGTGTAGCGGTAGGCTATGACCAAATTGAACAACGAGTAATGCGACGATGTAAAAATGTGTACATGGTTTCTATGCGAAATATTTGACTTATGCAAAGCCACCCTGCCAGCCACGGCTCACCACTTTCCCCTAAAATTCAAACGATTTACTAACACATTCACAACTTTTTAGTCATCTCACCCACACACTTACAAATTTTTTGTTTGAACTGTCAAAAAATGTCCCTTTGTTAGAGCTACATACCCGATAATAATTCGTACTCTAACAAGAATTCTCTGCGTTAGAGCGAGCAAGTTAGAAACATCAGAGTTTGATGACAGTATACATACTGTGAAGAAATGTCACTACGACTTAGTCACATTCTTAAGGTATGTGTTGAGGCTTTTTATATGTTTATAAATTTTAATTGATATTTTTGCTTGTTTACAGATTCACTATCAGCACCTTCAACGCTTGCATCTTCATCGCCAGGAGCACCATTAGAACCTTCTGCACTCAGCTTCTTCATCGCCAGGAGCACCACCAGTACCTTCTACCCTCAGCTCCTTCATCGCCAGGAGCACCATGAGTACCTTCCGCCCTCAGCACCTTCAACGCCAGGAGCACCTTCAAAG